CATGATGTCTCACCAGATCCTGCTCCAAATCTACAGTTGAATCAACTTCTACGTTCCCATCCAAATATCAATCTCAATTTTTACAATTGCTCAAATTTTAAAGTATTTGATAAAGAAAATAAGGAAAATAAGTGAATCTCGAGATCTTAGTTGAGATAGATGGGCATAACTGATTGTTTTGTTAGATTTTATTATTTAAACTATGAGTATTATTCTTGCGTTTACGTTGTAGTTTATTTCAGAGTTTCAATAAAAAATTTTCTATGAAATGATATTTCTAATATTATTATTATCAAAATTAAGATTTTTTAATAATTTATTTTTCATTTTAATTTTCAGGTGTATTTTCAAATTTAAAATTTAACAATTTTGAAGATAATGAAGGGGATTCACTGGCTGAATTTATCAGTTTTTATATGTAGTTTTATATTTCGGTACGTACGTAAGTAAGGCCTTTAATGAGATCTAGGGAGTGGGGGAGGCCAGGCAACTTTTGTACACGTGCGAAGGGAGTGACTCTAATGCAGAAAAAAGGGGAGAAGCTAGTCGTGTCGAGGGAATGCAACTAAATATGAAGATAATGACTGAATGGGGAAGAAACAAAAGAGTGTAGGCTCACCGTTGAAGGGTATGAAGGGTAATATTGTGTGGACAAGAGGAAAAATGAGGGGGGTAACTCGTACTCACGAAGGGACTTCACTCTGGCTAACACGTGGAATTCCACCGGAGCCTTGCACTCCTCCAAAATACCAGGGCGTTTTCCTGGAGAGCCTCCTTTCCACCTCGGGGTTTCCTAGGCACCAATACTAGAGCTGGGATGAGCTCGAAGTATCAAAAGTCCTCTTTTTATCCGCCAAATAACTTCCGGGCGAATTTTACTGTATTCACTATTACTACTTTCGGGGCACGTGACGACTCACGGGGCAGCTAATGCACGAGTGACGGTCTTTTATTTTCCTCCGCGATTCGTGGGGGTTCGTTAAGTGTCGAGGTCCTTCGGTTTTTAATTCGGGAGCAATCGGGGCCAATCAGCACGGTTGAGTGGTGACGATGACCACAATCCAGGGATGTCTCACAAGGGATTATTGCAGGTGTTGAATATTCGGGGGTCCAGTATGGGGAAGTTCCAGGGGGCGATGGCTTCTCCAATTGATCGGGTGGGGCCGGAACTGATGTCTTCCTTCGGCTGATGTCTTCGTGACGTCCAGGGGCGGGGGTAGAGGGGTGATGAGGGGAAAAGTCTGGAGAAGGGGTATCCAACGGTGGCGGGATTTACCTTTTAGGGGGCAGTGTGTAGTGGGAAAAAATATGTAGAAAAATAATAAAAAATAAATGAATAT